TGGATTTGAACCCGTGACTGTCCGTCCAACCCCCCTGCCCCGTGAGCTAAAGGAGCAGCACCGTAGCGGTCAGCAGTAGCAGGCTGCTATCCTCTCGCGGACACAGGCGCGCGACACACTTTGTCAGGCGAGGCGTGGTGCATACGCCCAGTAAACACTCCCGGCCCGAAAGATCTTACAGTCTAAAGAGAGCTGGCCTGTGCCTCAGTTTCCCACGCTGAAAAACGGGGATGTTGCTGCTGATCCCCTGGCAGAGGCGCCCGAGGGCTTTGTATGAGGTGCGAGGTGCTGCCTTGCTCCTCATTCACCCTCACGCGAGCGAGAGGAGAATCCGGCCCGGAGCTGGTGTATTCGTGACTGGGATCGGCTGAGGGGCAGTCCCATAGTGTCCTACCCCTAGAGCTGGGGAAGATAAACACACCCACTTGCTAAGTAGCCTTTTCCCCAGAGACACCGTCCCTTCGCTTTCCCGGTTCAGGGCCGACGAGCCTGACGTGTCATTTTCTTTCCAGTTCTAAAGTCACGGCTGCTGTGAGCAAAGGCAAACATCCCCGGTCTGGTTCAATGGGAGTTCGGCCTGGGGCAGGAGGAGCGCACTGCTCCAAGGGGAGCAGTGGGGATACCTGGGGAGCCCCCAGTGAGGTGAGGGAATATACCCGCTTGTAGCGGGGTGGTTAGCCGCTCCAGCCCTGACAGGGTTAAGGCCAGCCCTGGGAGAGGGCTGGGGCTGTAAGGAAAAGCAGGCCTAGCTGGGGCCACGCCCCAAACAGAGCACAGCAGGTCCTTATAAAAGGCTGCTAGCTTGGCGCTAGGGTAGCCTCTCCGGTCTTGGAGGGAGCAGGGCCTGGCTGTTGGTAGCAAAGGTCCTGGGAGTGAAGCAGGGCTGGGGAAAGGCCAGGGGAGCTTCAGCCTGGCAACTCCCCAGGCTGCAGGGCCTGGTCCTAGGCCCACCCCTGAGGTATTGGGTGGTGGAGGAAGACAGCAGGTCCTACCCCCTTGCCTGGCTTTTATAATGCAGTCTGCTCCAAGGAGCAGGGCTCATGGCCGACTGGCAGTAGCCACTGGCTGAGGCAAGGTGGGATTAGGGGGTTGGGGGTCCCTGGGGAGGGGAGACCCTTGAGAATGAGGGGTTACTGCCAGGGGGCAGCACCCCAGATAATGGGGCACCGGAGTCTGAGAGGGACACAGGGGCCAAGCGGTAGCAGGACACCAGCCTGCAGAGGGCGCTCCAACGGCTGGTGAGCTAATTTCCTGAGATGTCCAGCAGGAGGCGCCGCAGGGGTGAGTCCCACGCTGTTACACTGCTCCTACACCCCTTTCTGGGACACTCCTCGCTCTGCCCCAGTGGAAATTCACACCGAATCGCTGACCCCGGGGGCCGCTTCTGCAGTCACAGGGAGCGTTGGCAGAGTAAAGCTGGCAGGATCGGGCCCAGCGGTATTAGCGCTGTGGTTTATATTTAGTGCAGCTTTCTCTGCCCTGGCAGGACGGCTCTCTGCAAAGAGGACTGGGAGTCAGGACTCCTGGGTTCTCTGCCTAGCTGTGAGCCAGTCACTTCAGGCCAGCGGCCCCCCTGTCTGCAAAACTGGGGGTCACACTGACCTTCCCGCCCCTGGGTGCTGTGGGTCTGAATTCATTGTTTTCAAAGAGCTTTGAGATCTTTGGAGGGAAAGGGCTGGGTAAGATTGCCATTGTCACAGAGAGCGGGGAACTGGAACGCTAGATCAGATCATTCCATCTGGTATCATTGCTCCAAGAGTGGGTGGCCCCAGCTTCTCCAGAGGAAGCTGAAAGAAACCCGCCAGTGGGCAGTTAGGGGATAATCTGCCCCTGTGAAAAGTTACCTCCTGACCCCCTAATAGTTGGCATGCCCTGAAGCCTGAGGGTTTATACCCCTCCCCCAAATCTTAGCTTTTCACATTCTTTCTACTAGAACCCAGAATACTCTTGTTCTCCACACAAACGCCAAGTCCTCTTTTGAGTCCTGCTCAGCTCTTGGGCCTCCATGAAACACTGTGACCCTGAGTTCCACAGGTTAATGGGGGGCTGTATGGAAAAAGTGTTTCCTCTTATCAGACTGATCCAGTTCTAAACCCCCCCGAGTGACTGACATTTCCGCCATGTCCCTTAAGTACGTCCTTCACCCCGCCTGTCAGGAAAATACCAGCCGTGGGCCGGCCGGTGTCTCCTCTCGCTAACCTGAGGGAGTTGTATGGTGGGGAAGGGAGAGGAGAATCAGGCCTCCTGTCTCTTTAAATGGATGGACAATAGCAGGTGATCAATCAATGTCCATGTCTTCTATTGCATCATCCATCCTGGTTCCTTTTGTAGAGCGATGGGGTTGTGGGGTGAGGGAGAAGGGGGCTGTGGGAAAGGGAGGGAGAGACGTGGTGTGTGATCATAAGGGGGATCTTGCTATACCACTTGGTCCCTCTACCACCCTCCCCCACACTCTGCCTCCAGGATCCAGCGGCTTGGTCCACCTCCGGAGCCTGGCTATCTCCAGGGTGCTTCCTTGGAGGATCTTACGGGTCTCGCTGCTGCAGCTCCATGCTCCGGACATGTCCGGCTTGACCCCATGTAAGAGCTCAGGCCGGGCTGGATGACGTGACCCAGACCGTTCCCCTCTGTAACACAGGGTCTACTGCGTAGGCAGCTGAGACACCATTGCTGGGGAGACTACAACCAGGGCCAGGCCCAGATGGCCCCCACTGGCCCTCCCCAGAGTTCTCTCGCGCTCCAGACGGATGGGGGATGCTCTAGTCTCCGGGGGGTGCTTGGAGACCCCGGGGCCCAGCCGCACGCGCCTCCCCAGAGATAGCCGTGCCAGCCACTTGGCTTTGGACCTCCAGCGCTCTGACCCTGCCTCCCCTCTTCTCTCCGCAGAGCTGCCCTGCCATGTCGTCCTCCAAACGCCGAGACGCGGACGAGGTTTTCGGTAAGTCCGCCGCACGGTCTCCACCCTTTTCCCGCCCCCACGCCCGGTCTCTCTGAGCCCACGTCCCTTAGCGCCTGCAAGCTCGCCCCGGCGTCGCCAGCCAAGGGAGACTTTCCCCGGCGCTGATGGCCTGCCGAGCAGAGCAGGGACGGCACGGACCCAGGCTGGGGGGAATGTGGGGCTCGGGGAGGGACGATCTGGTGGGAGGGAGGTTGGCGGGGGTGTTAGGGCCGGGCAGCTGGGGGCCGGTGAGCTAGGGTGTGGCTGGAGACAGGGAGGTGGGAGATTGGAGATAGGGGAAGCTAGCGTTGGGGAGCCAGGGCATTGGGGTGGATGTGGGGGAGGGGGGAATTTGGGAGCTAGGGCCTGGCTGGGGGGAGGGAGGATGGGGAGATCAGCAAGCGCAGGAGCCCGGGGAGGGTCTGAGAATGAATCCCCTCCCGCCCCTGAAAGCCGCGATCTGTTCGCCCACCCCAGAGTGGCCCGGATCCCTGGGAGATGGACTGGGACAGCTGGCCTAGGTTTCTGGCCCCTCGACTCCGGCCCTAGGCTGGATTCACCCCTGGTGGGGGCTCCTGCTGCTGTCCTCCGGGGATGGGGGGGGGGTCGCTGTGCTGGGGGAGGGCAGCACCTGCTGAATCAATGCCTGTCCCCGGCCGCCCATCCCTCTGGCTCCCGGGACACTGCCTCTCTCGCACACACCTAGGAAGCCAGGAGCAAGTGGGGCCCTAGGTGTGAGGCCCCTTAGCATGTACACGTGGGGCTCCGCCTCCACAGAGGCGCGTCTCCCCACTTCCCTCCACCCCGTGCCCCCTACGGCTACTGGGATCCTGCAGGGATCCTGCAAGAGCCCCCTGGCCAACTCCACAGGGCCTTGCTCATTCCGCCTCCTAGGGAAATCCCTCCACACACACACTCCTACTACTCCCTCTTGTCTCCAGCTGGTCTCCCCTCCGCTTCCCTTTCTCTCTCATCCCTCGCTGCTTTCTTCTCCGGTCCCTCGGTGGCCAGGTGCTGCAGCGCCCGCTCCAGCAGGCAGCAGAACTTTGTGCAGGGTCCTACTTTGCCTCGGTTTCCCATCCACCTTCCCTGGGGGGGTCAAAGATCTGCCCTGCGCACCCTCCTCGGGGCCTGACCCTGCATCCTTCGGCAGCCTGAGACTCTCAGGCAGGTCGAGGCGGGTTTGGTGCACAGAAGGAAGGAAGGATCGGGCCCGTCACGTGTTTGTGTCTCTTGGGGCTTGCCTCCACTCAGGCAGTTTGCACGCGTGGACCTCCTAGCGTAGGCAGTTGTGCAAAGCACGACGGTTGGGCGAAGCACGGCTGGCTCTGGGGCAGCTGGGTCCCAGTTGGGCGTGATAGCGTGATGCCGTTCGTGCTGTGGTATACTGACCAAGCCAGTATAGGCAGGGCGTTGTCAGAATCGCTCCCGCCGAGTGTGCGTCTGCCTCTCTCATTGGCTGACGGCCATAAGCACCCAGACAGGTGCACGTGTGTGTCCACACTCACACGCGTGTGCACGTATGGTGCCTGTGGTTAGCAGGCGCCTGAGCCGTGCCATACTGCAAAGGCCACTGTCTCGACTCCCAGGCGGCTGGAGTTGAAAGACCACGTGCCATCTGCAGACAGCTGATGTTGGCTCCTGTCTGCGGCTGGAGAAAAGTCATTTCCCCCCCCCCAAAAAAAACAACAACAACCGCGCAGCAGGGCAGAGGAAGCGGCTGGCAAGCGAAGGGGCGAGTGCCCCCGAGGCACAGCTCTGATTTCCCCCCGCTTGGCTTGGCACCCGCCTGGCGTGCCCTGTTTATAACGAACCAGCTGGGATGAGCAGCGCGTAGCAAAGACAACCCGGGGAAGGCTGGAGACTGACAGCGCGGTGAGTTACAGCCGCATTACCGCCGGGGGGGGGGGATGACCGTGTACCGCGTGTACAGGGGTTCTCAAACTTCATGGCACTGCGCCCCCTTTTGACAAGAAAAATTACTATATGACCCCAGGAGGGGGGGACCAAAGACTGAGCCCGTCTGAGTCCCACCGCCCCGGGTGGGGAAGGGGTCAAAACCAAAGCTCAAGGGCCTTGGCCGCAGCCCGTGGGCCAGTAACCTGGGCTGAATCCCTTGGCCTCTGGCTTGGGCCCCGAGCCCCAGCAAGTCTAAGCCAACCCTGGCGGCCCTATTAAAATGGGCTCGCGACCCACTTTGGGGTCCCAGCCCACAGTTTGAGAACCGCTGGCTCGAACCCATTCTTAAAAACCTCCAACGACGGAGATTCCTTGCATACATGTAGGCCCGAGAGCCCACAAATATACGTGCGCCCGTGCAACGCACATGCACTTGTGCCAATATTGGTGTGCAGAGGTGGTGGCACAGACACACACCTGTCCCAAATGGCCACACGCACGTGCCCGCATGCTCAGGTACACACAACAGGTGCACGAAGGCGTCAGGAGTTGCCTGTTTCTCGTTTCGCTTTTCCTCTTTACCCAGAGGCTTCCGCTGGAAGCGTCTAGCTCTGGGGAGGGGGAGTTGGACAGTCAGCTGGTGAGTGCTGGAGAGTATGAGCAGGGAGCATGCAGAAGATTGCCTTAGTTCCTGGAAGTAAATATGGGACTGCAGTAAGTGACATGATGGGGAAATGGGAGCCTAACAGAGGACCCATAGAGCATGGGAGTTGGAGGCTGTTGTAGGACTGGCTTTGCAGCATAGGGGTGTGTGTTGTATATTGTGATGTGTGGTGAGCACTGTCCCTGAGCCTCTGTAGAGGCTCGGCGAGTTGGGTGGCTATTGGCGGCAGCGCTACCGGCTCTGCCTATAATTCAGGTTGTCTGAAATGTTCCATTAGAAGACCCTGTTTTCAGTTGCTTAGAACTTTGCCAGACATGAACCGTTTGGCCTGAAAATTTCCCCTGCCTCAAATTGAATTTGGAGAAGGGGTGTGTGGAGGGAGGAGGGAGTTGGGGTTTTCAGCAAAAACCATTCTGCCATTTCTGAGAACGAGGTGAGGGGCAAACACCTTGTTTTGCCCAGGTTCACGATCATTCTCAGGTCTGTTTCTTTGAGCCTCTTTAGTGCCCCCAGGCTTTGGTGCAGGGAGTTGAAATTGGACAGAGGGGAGAGTTTCAAGGTGTCAGCCAAGCCCCGGCCCCACTGGACTCGGGGCGGTACAAACACCTCCTAAGAGCCCTCTCCACCCCCAAAGAGCTGGCAATCTAAATAGATAAGACCGCCGAAGGCTGGGACAGGCACAAAATTGGAGTGACTTGCCCAAGGTCACCTAGCAGATCAGTGGCAGAGCCAGGAATCAAATCATGTGTGCCATGTCCTACCCACTAGGTCATACTGCCCCTCATGTTTTTTTAGGCAAGGCCCCTTCTTTAGGTGCCTAAATGGAAGTGGAGCTCCTTGCCCCACATGCTGAGCTCTTGAAAATCAGGCCGTAGGCTCTTTAGAAAACTTCCTTCTAATAAAGTGTCAAAATCCAATCTCCCCTGCCGAAGAAGGGGAGCACTCCCCACGCCCCTGGGACTGGTCACGGTCACTCTCCCTTGGGTGAGGAGGTATTTTGGGGCAGTTCTCTGGCCCGTGCGATACAGGAGGTCAGACTAGAGGATCCTAATAGTCCCTTCTGGCCCAGAGGATTTGAAAGGGGCAGAATGGCTGATTTTC